GGATGGAGAGTTTGGGAAAGAAAAGGGAGGCCAAAGAGGGGCTCGAAAAAGCTCATGAGGTCGAAAGTCAGGTGGTTCGAAAAAGCTGAGGAAGGAGCCTAGATCTGGCAGCCAGTGAATTTGAATGGGTGTAGAAAGGGGAATTTGCACCAGACAAGCAGATACAGCTGGTTTAGAAATGGAATTAGAATGGACTGGTTGGAGATTATGTGTGAAAGGACCAGCATGGGTCTGACCAGGGAAGGGATCTGGGATGACTCGCCTGAGGAGGAAAGATTTCTTTAAGAAATATCTGCAAACTGGTGGCCCTAGAGAATCTTCAGTACCACTGTAGGCTAGTGAAAGAAAGTTGCCTGAGGTGCCTTAAATCCTGTAAGAATAAAGAGCCATCTGATCGTCATTGCCCACAGTCACGGGTGGCCTGGGTACAGTCCTAGTCCTGGCCTTATGTACTAAGCCTGTATGTAGCTCTGAAAATGGTACCAGTGCCTTCCTTGTGTTGCAAAGACAATTTTTCTCTATCATTCAGGACTGAAAAGCCAATCTTTGTTTGATGACATCAGTTTCCAAATCCAGCACAAACCTCTGCTAAGCCAATTTTTGTTGTTTCCAACTTTTGTTAAACACTCTTCAGTAGGAAGCCTTTCCTTGTTCCTTTGGTTCTCTTCCATGTAGGCAGTGTACCTCAGTCCTTTCCTCATTGTCACATCTCTTCTACGGTTTCTTTTTCCCTTAAGGAGGAGATCTCACTGCTTTCCCTGTTGCTCACCATTAGTTTGGGCTGAATCTGGTAGCCTGACAGAGAAGAGACTGCCACAGCTTCATGTCCCCTGGCCCAGCTGGTAGCAAGGCTGAGAATATATTCCCAGTAGACACACATCTATACAACATATATATACATGTATATACAGCCGACCACACAGATCAACTCAGCTAGACACACCCACCACTCACATAAGCAGAAACAGCACCAATGGCCTCATTTTGTGTCCCTCTCTGGTTGAACTGGATGAGGGTTCAATAGTGGGAAATATATGTATACATATGTACAATGTGCATCCTTTCCATAGTTGTACTCAGACACTGAGTCTGTCCAGTAGCTGCCCCTGGATCCCAGTCACCACATTTGCTGGCACTTGGACCTATGAGGACCTATGACCAAGTCCTGCATCCCCCTTCCAATTGCTAGTACATGCACACAGACCCACCCCACACACCTCTCCTCCTCAGCAGGTGTCTGGAACTCCCCTGCTCCCTCTGCTTGCTACCTCCCACCGATTTTGCCATTAGAGACACACATGCACACACCTGGAACCTCGGTTACTTCACTTACCTGCCATCTAGTCTGACTTCGTGTTCACTAGTGATCACATATGGTCCCTTGCCTCAGCTACTGGCATGACAGACACGAGACCACTCTTACCTGTGGCTCTACTCCAGTTTCTGGTCCTTAAGTTCACTCACTTTGGTATCTCCAGTTGCTGGTACCTGCGGTCTGACTCCATTTCCCAGCACTTAGACCTCCACGCACAAAACACACGCACACAGAAGAGAGAGCCCCTCCCTCAGGGAAATACTGAGAAATGGAATCTAATAAGACATGGATACACTGAGCTAAGCAGGCACAAGACATGGCCAGAGAAGCATACTCACCAGCAACCAGTTTACCTGTAACTGGTCCCATTTATAACTTTATTCCTCTATTTTCCCCACATCTGTTGTTCCCCAAATCCAGGGGGAAGTACGACCATACCTGTCTTTACCTTGGTAATTTTTTGCTTTCCCTTGGTTTTTCTTTAATCTTAAAAGAAAACAGACTGAAAGAATTAGATGTTTTGGACTGAAAAGCAGAAGGGCTGTCCATCTAGCTACTCTTCAGGAGGCAGCAACATGTTATGCAGTTCCTGAGAGACACACTAGAGGTCCTGAATTACACCTTCCAAATACTTTCTTCATTTTTGTTTCCTGAGACAGAAAGGTTGCTTTAAATAAAAATCTTTGTCCTGGAATGAGTAATAAATTCTAATGCATCTGACTAGAGAAAAAGGTAGAGTCCAGTTGCACTGAAATGATTTCACCTTATCTCAGAGTTCTTACACAGCATAACCTTAAAATTAATTCCCACAGTCTCCATATTCTCTTTCATTTCCCATCAAGCCTCTAAAACAGTTTCTCCCTCCAGGACTTGAGGTCTGACTACCACTAGAAGTTTTTAAACAGGTCCAGCATGACAGACAAAAATAAAACTAAAACTCCTGTAGTGTCTCCATGCATAAGACATGTAGGGGTCATTTTAGGACATTCATCAAAGCAGCAGTGTCCCACTGAGCTGTCTCAACATGGCCCATGGGAGTGTCTCAAGGTGTCCCATCCTAGCAGAAAGGCTAGGGCAAGAAAGAAAGGGCCCTAGAAAAGGCAAGATAAATTCAGATGGAGAACAAGCAAAATCAGGACAAGATTTCCATGACAGAAGAAGGGGAGTAAATGCTAAATATATTCATGAATGGATCATCTGTGTCAAAATCATAAAAGAATATAAAGGCATATTAAATTGGGTCAAACCCATTTGCTAACTGCTGTATTGACTTTGAAAACCACACAAAAAATCAAAGAAAAATGTAAAAGATATGGAAGGTAATGAAAAAAAAATTCTGTATTGTCTACAGTTCTTTAACAAGTCACTGAAACTGTAATACATCTAGTACAGGGCTCACACTTGCTGGAGCATGGGTAAAGAATAGTTTCTCCTGAGAAAACCTGCAGTGGCAAGAACTGGCAGGGACTGAACAGGAGCCATGGTCAAAACCCTACTTCTCATATGCTAAGTGTCCATGACACTGGAGATCATACAAAACTTTTATACATGATATAGAATCAATCACTGAATCATAGAATTCCAGGTTGGAAGGGACCTCTAGGGCCAAAAGCACAGTCTAGACAAGATGGCCCAGCACCCTGTCCAGGTGAATTTATTTTCTTTCCTGTCTGGGAAGAAGCTATAGATTCTAAGGTAATTTCTGTCATTTTCTTAAAAAGCAGGATTAAAAAATTGAGACAGGGAACATTCATTACCAAATTTTTTGAGATTCACACTGCTCTGAATCCTGGTCTGACCCTAAGAACTCAGCCTTAGGTCCAGAAAAAGTATAGTATTGCCAGGCTCACAGACAGAACATGGTATATAGTTAGGGGAAGATACTAATCTCACTAGAGCTTCAGGCAAACATGAGAGGGGGGATATCAACAAAATAGAAAGAAAAAGAGAAAACCTCAGTAAAATTGCTTATTTTCTGGGAGATGCAATATGAAGATTACTGAAGATCATTGAAACTGAATATGTATATTTCATTCAAAGTACTAGCAAGAAAATAACAAGCTACAATAATACAAGTTTTTTTTAATCTTACATATTCAGAAAAGAACAGAGGGTGATATAGGTTAAGATAAGGCTAACTAAGATGTACTTGGCAGGCTAGAAGAAACCAGACTGTTCATGAGGCTAATGTCTAACCACAGTTTTTGCTTTCAGAAGAAAAGGCTGGCAGAGCTGTCTTGCTTTTTGTAATTAGAGCTTCCTGAAAGATTAAACTGCAGAGAATATGCTTTCCTGACTGGAAAACTGAAGAAATTAAGATGTGATTAAACATTATTTTTGTGACTTGGTCTATCATCTTTGCTTCTGTCTAATATAAGTTCTGAGTTGTGAGATATCTTTCAGGTATTAAGAACATCTCTCCAGAATGAAAAAATTCATGTTCACATTTATTGGAGTAAACCATTCTGGAAAGATGGCCCAAGTTATATCTATAGGTGTAAATGAGTAAAAAAAAAAAAATTATGAGGTAAATATTCCCAGGTTCATGGCTGACAGCCAATACCCAGACATGCACAATGATGGAATGACAGACAATATGACATTCAAATAACAACCTACTGGTTTGCAAACAATTCTACATTTTTGTCAGAACACTGCCTGTCTTGTGGAAAGGCTAAAGCAAAATGTACAGCCACATGAATACTTAGCTTTGCTTTTAATAGCTCACCAAACTGGGTATCAAAGGTGGACTGTCCCTTCTCTCTTCTCTGCCCAAGCTTGATGGAAAAATCAGAACAAGGGGAGGGGCATCAGTCTCTCTAGACTCCCTTAACTCACGAAGAGCAGTAACACACTGTTCTGGGACAGCTGGAGGGCCATGCTGACTGTTCTGCTTGCTCTTTTACCTGGTGAGAGACAACAGATTGATCTGCAGCACAGCCCTCATCTGGGTCACACAGGGCTGGTGTGAGGTAAAGGACCCTTTTTAGCCATCATCTGTATTACTTCTCCTCCCTTTCTCTTTTTCTCTCTTACTCATGCAGGTGCTGGCGTGGGAAGCCTCATCACACAGTGGCCAGAAGAAACCATTAAGAATGCTGGAGAGACTGTGGACATCTTCTGCTATCAGAATAATACCAGGTTTGCCTATATGTTCTGGTACCAGCAGCCTCCAGGAAACGGTCTGAGGTTAGTAGCCAGTACTTCTACATGGATGCAGAACTTTTATGAGGAAGGTTACAGTGAGGCCAAATTTGGGATAAACAGAGACAATAATGATCACTCTGTGATGACAATCAAGAATGTGACATCCAAGGATGCAGCCATGTATTTCTGTGCTGCGAGTGATCGCACAGTACTGCAAGGGGATTGAGCACTAAGATAAAATCCCCAACTCGCCTGAATGAGAGATGATGATGGAGTCTCTGAAAAATGTGAGCTGGACAGATGAGAGAGGAGCAGAGGAAGAGTAGAAGACAGACAAGGAAGAAGTAGGGGAATAGAGCCAGGACTTCTTGGAGGGAAGAGAGACAGACAAAGCAGTGCAGCAACATCTAGTTAAAAGACAAAAAACCTTCAGAAATGCAAACCCATAGATCAACATTAAGAACTGAGGTACTGCTGATATGGCTAGTGAAAGGCAGCAGATACTTCTTAGGACTGGTGCTACAGAAGCACAGTCATGTTATGGGCCACTAATTCCCCATGGACCCCACTATGGCACCAAGAAAAGAGTACAAAGCAGGAGGAGAATTCAAGGTTCTTCCACATACTGATGATCCACTCAAAGACAGAGGTGCCCAATGAGACATTGATTGGTGTGGGAGGAGAGTCCTTCCTCTGATTATGGACATATGAAGATGGCGCCAGTACAGGTGGGAGGAAACATACCCAGGGGACCAGCCATACCTTCCATTGTGGAAGGGACAGCTCCTTGTCAGCTTTACAAGTAACAGTGTAAAGCCCTGCAGCACTTTTATTCATCTGCTCCACACACCGTTTAATTTTAGGATACCTCTCTTCTGTGCTACAGAAATGCACACAGTTTTGAGCTGGACCAAGGCATCTCTTCACAGCAAAATCTCATGGGCAGAAAATGAAACCACAGAAAGCTGTTTTTATCACATAAACTAGGACTTATCTTTTTTCAAAGAAAAAGAAACAGCACATAAAAGAGCAAAAAGTATCGTTTATAATAAAGTATGGCTATACACTTGAGTATTTTGTGCTTCTGATTTTAGGTCCTGTCTTTGGCAGTCTGCATACCACTGAGCACTGACAGTTGTCTCATATGCTCATATGGAAGACACAGCATATGAAGCACGTACCTATCACAGCGAGCAAATATGCTATGCTGCTCACTCATGTGGCAAACCTGGATATGCTGAAGTGAAACATACTATTTGATTACAGAAAAAAAAAAAAAAAAAAAAAAAAAAAAAGAAGTGGGAGGTGATGAGAATAGCTGATGAGAGCAAGGAGCAGGAATCAGCTGGGAGCATGTCCTGTAAAAGACCTTCACACTCCATTTCACCAAAATTGCTAGAAGACTTTTGTACTCCCAGGATGAATCACTCGTTTTCATGTCAGGGTCCTAGTCTCCTGATCGACCACGCTACATAAATGTGACTTTGCATCCAAGCTCTGCTCTAAAAGAAGCTAAACTGTTCTTGGGTAGGGAAATTTGGGTTCATGACAGAAACTCATGTTCATTGTAGTCTCACCCTGGACACAGTGAAGGCTCTGAAGAGGCTAAATCTAGTTGCATTCCAGACTTACTCCAGTCCTTCAAAGGCATTTCTGAAAGATTCAGCTTCACACACCAGTCCTTGCACAACCTGGTAGTGAATATTCTTCTGACTCCAGGAGCTGCTCAGCAAGAAGTGTAATATACCATTCCTTGCTCCCGGGGAGCACTCATCTGCTCCCCAGAAGACTCTCAGATCCATGGTCTACTCATTGTTCATACCAGGTGACAGACATAGAGCAGGGAAGCAATGGGAAAGCATTCTCTCTCACAGAGCAGAGGCACACTGAGCTCCTTATTCTCTTCAGCCTTTGATCTTATATAGAGATCATCTTTACACAGGTACCAAACACTGTTGTTGTCTGGAATTATTACCAGTGATCCAAATTCTCTGTGAAAGTTTTAGGAAAAGTAGTTTATTCTAGAATCATTAAGTAATGTAAACACCATGGTAGCAACTTTGAGAGTGACTTTTGGGTGATTTTTTAATTTTTTTTTTTTTTTAATTTTCTTCTAGTAAATTACCAGTTCCTGAAAATCGTAATGTTACTGTCCTAGCTCAAACCTCTGGCAGAAACACTGCAAAACAGCTTTATCAGCTCTGGGAACATAACAGAGGAAGGATCCTTTTCTATTTCTCAACTCTTGAGCATTTTTAGTTTAGAGTAGCAAATGCAAATTTAAGGCCCTATGAAAACAAACTTATCAGTAGCCTTTCAATGTTCAGCAGATTAATGAGCTGGCTATTGATTGGTCACAGCTGTGCAATTTCCAGGTGGTCATAGAAAACTACAGTGATCTCGAGTGGTCATTGCTATCTTTCTGCAGTCACAGTTCCCTATTAGAGCTCTGAGGTACAATTTTCTCCCATGCAGTAATTGTTTTGCCAGCTTGAAGAGACACTGCACAAAAAGCATCTATTCTAAGAGGCTTCTCATGAAACAGCTACTTTCCTCCTTGTCACACTCCCTGTCCTCATATTGATTCTCCTTTGTCTCCTGCTGTAGAAGGTGGCAGGGGAGCTGTAACTACAGAAACTATAGTCAAAGGTACTTATTTTAGATGCTCAGCACTGACATCTCAGGCACATCTGTGTAAACAGCTGTATATTCATAATGAATATCAGTTTGTCAACAATAGCCTACCTGCAGTCTAGAGATTATATTGGCTACCCAAAAGATAAGATGATGGAAGGAGAAGATGTTTAAAATCACATCTCTATGCAGATAATGATGCTATACCATGTGATGTGTTCATCCTGCAACTACTGTGAGGGTTTTGCAGAGTCATAGAATCAAAGAATCATGGAATGGTTGAGCTTGGAAGGAGTCTTTAAAGGTCATCTTGTGTAAACCCCCTGCTCAAGCAGGGACATCTAGAGCCAGGGGCCCAGGACTGGGTCTAGACAGCTTTTGAACATCTGTGAGCATGGAGAATCCACATCCTCCCTAGGCAATCTATTCCAGTGCGTAGTCACCCTCGCAGTGACAAAGTGTTTCCTTGTGTTCAGAAAGAACCTCCTGTGTTTTTTGTTTGTGCTCATTGCTTCTGGTTCTGTCACTGGGCACCACTGAAAAGAGCCTGTCTCCATGCTCTTTGCACATTCCCTTCAAGTACTTATGTAGAGTAATCAGATCCCTCCTGAGCCTTCTCTCTTGTGCTGGTTTTTGCTGCAGTATATTTAATTTTCTTTCCAGTAGCTGGTATAATACTGTGGTTTGGATTTAGGATGAGAATAATGTTGATAACACACTGATGTTTTAGTTGTTGCTGAGCAGTGTTTATACTAAGTCAAGGATTTTTCAGCTTCTCACACTGCCCTGCCAGCAAGGAGGCTGGGGGTACACAAGAAGCTGGAAGGAGACACAGCTGAGACAGCTGACCCCAACTGGCCAAAGGAATATTCCATACTCTATGGCATCATGCTCTGCATATTAATCTGGGGGCAGAAGAAGGAAGGGGGGGACATTTGGAGTGATGGCACTTGTCTTCCGAAGTAACCATTACATGTGATGGAGCTCTGCTTTCCTGAAGACGTTTGAACACCTGCATGCTGATGGGAAGCAGTGAACGAATTCCTTATTTTGCTTTGCTTGCACAAGCGGCTTTTGCCTTACCTATTGAATTGTCTTTATCTCAGGCCACGAGTTTTCTGAGTTTTCTCGCTTTTACACTTCCGATTCTCTCTCCCATCCCACTGGGGGGCAGTGAGTGAGCGGCTGTGTGGTGCTTAGTTTCCAGGTGGTCTTAAACCACAATATTTGTCTAGGCTAAACAGTCCCAGCTCCCTCAGCCCCTCCTCCTATGTGAGATGTTCCAGTCCTTTAATCATCTTTGTGGCCCTTTGTTGAACACCCTCCTAGATGAAGCCTTTTCATAATCAAGGTCACAGGCACCTGGCAGAAGCTTGTGCTTCCTGTAACAGGAAGACGAACTTAAGAGCTCAGCGCTGTACTTCCCTCCCTTTCAGAGCAACCGTCACACGTGCAGCACAGACCAAAGAGGATATTCACAATCAGGCCAGGCTATAAACAGAAATACCAGTCTATAGTAAACAGATCACTCTCAATGCAAACCAGTCGCTGTGCGCTTGAGTTCCATTTATCATCCTGGGGCAGAAGAAAAAAAAAAGTGGGAAGGAAAAGTAGCATGAACATTGTCATGAAGTCACTGTGTGAAAAATAACTAAATTTAAAACCAGCCAATGAAAGAAAAAAAATATTACTTTTTGGCTATATGAAAAAAAAGCTGGGATTATAAATTCAGGGGTAAGGAATACACTAAAAGGTAATCAGACTATCAAGCATAAACAGCAATGGCAGAGGAAGGATGTGGCCTGTGGTCCCCATGGAAATCTTTCACGGTGACAAAAATGGGAGGGCGGAGCCATGGGTGGGGATTGTTTTTGTATGAGGGTGTATCGTTGTGGGGACAGGGGTTCCACAATGATACATTCCCCAGGAGGCCTTTACAAAAACCCGTATGTGCATAAGGCTCGTGGGAGAGGGTGTTAAGACAGCTACAGAGAATTCTGCAGCACAGCAGGCATGTTCTTGGGGTTTTTTTTGACAGACCTAGTGTGCTAGAACTTGCTTTCATCATCTGAGAACTCAGCCAGCCCTCTCTGGAAAACTAACTAGGAGATTTTGAGTAATTTAAATAATTTTTGGCAAATCATATTGGCTGCAGATGCACCCTAAAACCTATCAGAGTATTTGAAGCAGAGAATTAGTATTTTTTTCTGGTGTGATAATGTTTACAACAGACCATAAAATGGTTCTTTATTAATGTGATAAAAGTATTATCAGAAAAAGAATTCTGATGTGTAGTAGGTATCTCTCAGAGGCACCATATAAAAAGTGTTGAGGCTTTCTCTCTTAAACCTCCAGTTTCCACTGACTGACTCATGCCTGTGAGCACAAAGATTTCCTCTAATCCTCCATACTGTCTCACTGCAGTTCTTCCTAATGGTTATCAAGGGTTTGTCTGAGGTAAACCAACTGATTCTTCTGGACTCTCCTTGTGTGGATTACTTTTAACCTGTCAGAAAATTGAGTGGGATCCTGAAAGACTATTCAAGATGAATGAAAAGGCATGTGACTATGACAACCACAAAGCAAGTATTATTTGATTCTTAATTCCACAGAAAGGAAAGCTTAATGATGTTTAGAGTACAAGACTGACAGCAAGGAAGCTCTAGTTGTAGACGAATTATATTTCTAGACAATGACAACCTCTACCACTTTGGGTATATCTGCATGGTTTCTACATCTGAAAAACAAGAATAGCAGGTAATATCAATGAGATAACATGAGATTAGAGAAAGGTTGTAAAACAACTTGAGGTGAAATGTGGACAATAAAAATAAGTATAAAAAAACTCACCAAAATGATTTTATAAATGCTGCAGATTAAATAGTGGGATTTCAAGCTGGTTCTCTGCCAAAACCCTTCAGACAGAGACTGAGGGATCTTTGGGATCCGAAATACAGTAAACACTGCTTAAGCTTCTGCTTATTAAAGTCAACTGCAGTGCATCAATTTTCTTAGCTTATGATACAACACTTTGTCACCGTGAATACCAATAACGTGTTTTTCGGCGATGGCACAAAACTTACGGTAATAGGTAAGAAATTTTTGTTTTCTTTCTAAAATCTCTTCAAATCCCAAGTCTTCTCTTTAGAGAACTTCTCTTCAACCTTATTCTCCCTTTCATTATTGTTTCCCTGATGTGGTAGTAACCCAGTTTACTTTGGAGAACAGACTGTGTTTAGTACTGAAGGTATGGACACACGTTTCACTTTGGGGAACTGAATAAATGCATTTTCAATGAACACAAAGTGGACCACAGAAAGAATTAGGATGAGGAATGGGTTAAAAAATATGTACCTATAGTAAGTATATTGTCTTAATATATTGACATCTGCAAAAATCACTGTTCCCCAAAAGTATAACTATTTATAATGCTATTTCTCCTGGGCTACAGGTGATTAAGGACAAGTCAATGAAAGGCTATCTGTTTAGAAAGAACTGAGTTACAGTTACACTTTGGACAGGTCTAGAAAACAAAATCAAGACTCTACAAACAAATTAGGATCTTTTTCAGAGTAAACTAAAGCATGTGTTATCTCAGATAACTGGGAGAGACAAATAAGTGTGCTAGCATTTTTAGTTGACACAACAGAAGCCACAAATAAATACTTAACTTTATCATAAGCAATACTAACAACTCTCTGTAGCTGTTTAATTCCTTACTGTTATAGAAAACAACTCTCCACAGCACAGCAAGTTTCTTTCCACAAAACAGGCTAGTCAGGATGGTGATAAAAAAATCATTGAGGGTAACAGTCTTAGTATTTCAGAATAGATGCTAAAAGGCCACTGAAAACCACAGAAACAGAATATATGGTTCATTTCAAATAAAAATATCTCTTAGGGAATGTTTCTTTCTGGGTCACACATCTGGATTCTTTCTCCAAATCCAGGGAAAAATAAAGCTGCTTCTAAGACTCTAATAAATAACGGTGATCTCTTCTTCTCATTGTGTTGTTCCTGGAATCAGAAGAATTGATGCCTCAGGCTTTTGTACTGCATCGTTTAACTGCAGATCAAAATTATTACAAGTGATAAAATTCAATATCCATAGGAACAATGCAGTGATCAGCACATTTTTTTGAAATCCAGTGTGAATCTGAGGTGCCTGAGATGATGAAAATCAATACACTGATCCTCCTTGACCTTAGTCAATTATGCAGCTAACTTGAATAATCATAGCTAAGAGAAGAGAGAAAATAAAAGCACGAGGTGGGGGTTAGTCCACAGCTTTGGAGGCGGGCTGAGAGTAGAGGAGAGGTTTTCCTGCAGCTGCAAAACAGTGTGAATAATGAAAGACTGGACTTTGGCAGTGGGACAAAACTCACAGTCATAGGTAAGACAGAAGTCAAATCTCTGTGATATATGTGATGCTCATTCAGGGGACAAGACCATTCTTAATTAATAACAGAATAATGATCATTTTTCATACAGACATGATGACAGAATTAATGCTTTATTGGTTGCTTATTAAAATGAGATGTGCTAATATGGAAGTAGGATTTGCAGGCACAACTTTTGAGACCCCTGCACCCATTGCCTCTGTCTTCTCTTACTGGGAACTTCATGAAGGGAGAAAGGAAAAAATATTTCTATTTCCTCCCATTCTCCAAGAAAACATAGAGGTTGGGAATGAAACATCCTTATTTGGTCCACGAGTTTTTGCAGTTCATCTATGAAAAAATCAAAAGCAACATTTCAGAGGTAGAGTTTGGATTCTTATGCAAACTGAATCAAAGAAAGAGTAGTCTTGCTGGTGCTTTGCTCCCCTCTTCATAGATGGTTGCTTAAAGTTGCTTTGGGAAAATGACTTCCTCTAACAATCCTTTTCATGACTTCTAACTCTCAAAAAGGACTATATTATTTTTCTCTCAGTGCACTTTTCTCCTCTATTCTTTCTCTTTTTCCCCTGTTCACTTTCTCTGCCTTTTCCCCTCCCAGGGAAGGATTTAACATCACCTATATCAAGGCATTTTGCAATCACAGGGCAAAATAAATTTTCCATCTGCTACTGCCACATCTGATAGCAAACTGTAGAAACACACACTGGTGCCTGCTCCTTTAAACAGTATCATTTTAAGGAACTAAATGGCCATCAAGAAGAACATGACACTGTGGGTTATAGTCTGATCATGTACAGCTGTGGTTTTTAGCTGGGCTACTTACCTTTGGAGCCAGCCCTGTGCTCAGATTTATAGGTAAGTAGCTGTGATTAACCCACCTGCTCCATGTGGAGGACACTTGAAAATTTCCTTTGCATTAATGATATGTAGCATATGCACTGACGATTTTAAAATGAGAGTAGGAGTGAAAGATAACAAGAAATCATGAAAATGACCTTGCTGTGAGGGGAAAGGAAGAACTGTGGTACTTTTTTCCTTAGGTGGGTGAAGAATGTGTGACAGGGAATGCATGAGTTTATGCATAGATGTGATTAAGCATTGTGCCGGTGTCTGCCATGAATGTGGTGGAAGGTCAGAACAGAATATGCTGTTGATAACACATTTTTCTGATTGTCTCTGCTCTTGCTTGTACCAGTCTCCTTATTCCATTTCAAGCACGGTCATTGTCTGGCTTTCTTTGTCTTTCCAGTAGTTTTATCATTCTATCTGCCTTTTTCACCAGCCTTCCTCTTTGTCTTTTTGTGTTTTAGCCTGTTAAATCTCTATCATTTTTCTTTTGTGCCCTCCCTATCTGTTTATATGTCCTCATGCATTAGCTATTTAGGCTATGAGCCAAAGAACTTAATCAGACATACTTTTGGGATAGGAAAAAAATTCATAAAGACAAATACTAGAAGGGAGCAGTAAAAGTAATCGATGTTTCCTGGTGTCCACTGGAAGGAAAGCAAAGGAGTGACAAACCTCCTAGGGATTTACCTCCATTACTGTCTAGTTACCTCTTCTGAAGTCTGTACAAGCTCACACATTTTCACAGAAGCACGCCAGAGATCTTTGTAGAGTAAGCACTGGCAATGATGATTAAGGCAACAGTTGAAAGCAAACACTAGGGCTTAGGGGTCAAGATGTATGCAAGATATAAGTTTCTGCTAATTCTACTAATTCTCTCCACTCTAGAAAGGAGGGAGTGATTAGGAAGAACATCTATGATTTATAGTGCCTTCACACCGAAAAAAGTTTTTTCTTTGGATCCATAGTCCTCTCTGTATTCCTGTTTCCATGTGCACCATGCGGACCTGGTGGGTTTATCATGTTAGATGAGTAAAAAAAGCACTCTAAAAAAGTATATGGTGGGGGGGAAGGTAGCTTTTAAGGTCACTGCCTTTCTTCTGAATAACATCACATTGTTGCCTTGTAGATCCTTTTTGACTGTAAAAGTCTGTTGTCTTTAATCGTATATGTAGGTGTTACACACTTTAGGACAGGGGAAAACTTTTGGTTTGTGAACATATAGAATCTTGCATCATTTTGGGAAGATGAATAGTCTAGGATGAGGGCTTCTCATACCTAGGATAACCTAAATAATAAATAACATAAAAAGATATTTCATAAACTTAAAAAAGAATGGCAAGTTAAGACCTAAAGCAAAACTTGTCCCAGACAGATTCAGGTTGCCTACTAAAAATGTTCCTCACTTCAGACAGTGAGAAAGATTAGTTCTTTCCTTTCAAGTCATTTCTTAGATGGGGGGCTCCATGTAGAGAATCACATGGCAGTATAATTCTGAACACTGCAATAACCATCGTGCCATACTGTATCTCCAGGAATGGAACATGGTCAGTTGAAGATGCTTGTGCCTGATAACACAGACTCTTATCTATTGGTACAATAGTATGAATACAGGCCCTACAGCACTACTGGGCACTACTGGGCACTACCTGTTTGCTCAGCTTCTTTTCAGCTTTCCTATTCTGCTAGAGACAATACTAGAAATTCAAGCACTCATGCATTTACTTATCCAGACCATTTTCTATGTAATGAGTGAAGAGAAATGCTTTCAGTTTCCTGATGTCTACCTATCTATTATCTATTTTAATCATCTAATAGATAGTTGTAAAAAGGTCAGATGTATCAGGAGTCACACAGCACAAACATACTAAAACTTCTCAGGGTTTCTGATTGAAGACAGTGATGGAGGCTCTGGGTCACATTGCTTTCCGTTTCAGGGAAGGACGATGAAATCATACCTCCAGCTGTGGCCATTTTTTCCCCATCAAAGCAAGAGATCCAACAGAAGAGCAAGGCCACGCTAGTGTGCCTGGCCTCTGGTTTCTACCCTGACCACTTGAATCTGGTCTGGAAGGTGAATGGTGCTAAGAGGACAGAAGGGGTGGGAACAGATGAGTTTTCCACACAGAATGGGAGTACTTACTCACTGACCAGCCGACTGAGGATCTCAGCCCAGGAATGGTTCAACCCTTTGAATCGTTTTGAGTGTGTTGCTGATTTTTTTAAGAATGGAACACTGGAATCTATACACAAATTCATCTACGGTGATGCTGGTGAGTAAAAAATATGTACCACCATGCCGTACAGACTAGAAATCACAAATCAAAAGGGTGTGGGTTATGATGTGAAACACATCTATGTGCCACTTCTATACAGGGTGGCACCAAATATGTAGGTATTTACACTTCTCTTCATATTCCTGGGCCTCCATATCTACATTATCATTATACATCTATAGTTTTTCAAAAGTTTCTTCAGATTTTCACTGAGAAATCTACGTATTATAGTAAAATCTATAGTATAATAAAATATACAGTAGAGTAAAATTAATCAGGCAGGATATTGTAAACTGAAACTAAAATTTGGGTTCTGTTTGCATTGAAGAGAAATGTGACTTTCAGTTCATTTTTGTCTTTCAGGTTGTGCACTCACAGAAGGTACGTGTGTCTTCTCACAAGCAAATATCTGTATATATTTTCATTCCATTTTTACTGATGCTAAGTACAAGGTGTGTGAGATTGCTACTACAAGAATAACTTGTACTTCCTCATCTAAGTGATTATATGTTAGATTAAAAAAAAAAAAGAAAAAAGACTTCAGTTAGCTCTTCTTTATGATTCCCTTTTGAAATAACAGAGGAAATTGTGGAACCTTCCTATAGAGTCCCATTTATCATCTTTTTATCATCTCCTTCAGTCTTTTACACTGCCTCTGTTGGGAAGCTGTTTGCTCAGCCATGAAAGAAAAAATTCATACTTGGCCAAGAGATTATGACATCAAGATTCAGAATCTGGAATTCTCAGTATTTCTTGGTCTCAAATTCAAAGCACTTCTCATTACAAGTTACATACCCCTCCAAACTTCAGGGACACCCATACTAAAAATCATGTTTGTTTCCTCTGTGTATACATATTTGCACACTCCTGTTTTTCACCAACTTTTTTGATGCTTCAGGAGTCTTAAGGCTGAAGCAAGATCAGGCTGGTGTCTCAATACTATTGCAATTGCTTAAGAGTGAAAAACCTATAGGAATAAAAGTTCTAGATACCATATTATTCTGGGCTATCTAAAACTTCCCTCATTTATCAGCAACACTCACAAGGCCACAAGTGAAAAAAATTAATATCTTGTGATCCAGCTTAATTTGAGTTCCTAAGAGGAGATTCATGTGAAAAGCCTAGTTTTTCAGTAGATGTGGCAACACAATGATTAAACACTCCCAATCAGGACATACATTCTTAGCGTGAAGACAATCTCTGTCTTTCCTAGACTTGCTTTCTCTTTTGGTTCCTTGAATCACGGTGTTCTTTCCTATCCCCTGCTGTCTTGTACCAGCAAAGCCATTCATTCGACTCTAGTTCCTTTGTGACCCTTAGCTAAAGACTTCAAGGGCTCTTATTTGATTAAAGCTACATTAGATCTAGTCTCTCATGATGATGAAAATTCAATACACAAATGGTGCTTGATTTGCAGGGTCCTACTTGCGGTATGGAAATTCTCTGAAGCTCACTTACCTCATTCTCTGTGGCAAAGCCTTGCTCTATGCAGTTTTGGTGAGCAGTCTGGTGTGGACAGCCAAGGTAGGCTAGTGTGCCACTTACAGGGTGAGCTCACTCACTAGTGCAAGGATCAGCAGACACAGACTAAATGTATTCTCAGTGGTGGGGTTGTTCTTCATGTGTTCTGCTAGGATTTGTGCAGGCTCGTTCGAAAAATCACAAGTACTGAGTTTTCCATTATTGTTTTTCCAAAACTAGAATAAAATTATTGGTATCTAGCAGAGCAATTCCTTCTTAAAATACTCTTTAAACACATGGAAAAACATCAGAATTAAGGACAACTTCCCAGAAAGTAAAGAAGGGAAGTATCACATTTATCATACTTTTCTGTAAGCATTGAAAAGGAACTCATGCCTGCACTGAAAGTAATAATCAGAGCTTTTGAGGATATACATGGGATAAATCTAAACAAAGATTTACAAAGAAAAATGGGATAAATCTGGACAAATGAGAGAAGTTTAAGTAACTACCAGGAAATATTTTTTATCAGTAAGCCTCTCATGTGGCTGAAAGATACTCCCTGGAAGCCTCAGCACTTGTTCCTTTAAAAGCAGGACTGGGACATGTATTTCAAAATTGATCTGAGAGAGTTGAGGACTTACAGAAGTCCAGATAGATGATGTCCATAGCTCTTCCCGTGTCATTCCATTATAGAAAGTCACCAGATTAGTCATCTAACACACAAAATGGTGTGTAAAGAAATTAGTTCAGTATGTAAGTAAAGAATTTGTACAAGTTGACACTTTTGGTACAAAAAGGGGAGGAAGCATGGAGATAACATGGTCATTTCTGTTAATGCTCTCAGGAAACACAATAGTTGGGACACTGATAAATATGGTCTATTATTTCCTAGTTTATTGTATCTGTTACATTTGCTTGGGTTTTTTAAATTTGTTATTCTGTTTTGTTTTGTTTTCAATTAGACTGGTGGCAAGT